GTACGAACCCTTTGTACGAACAAAAGTAGGAGAAATTTAGGATAAGAATACGAACATGTTCTTGCATGAGGCCCAATGTGTCTGCTGTTGCGCTTCAGTTTGTTAAAGTAAGCATTAGCTGTGATAACCATCTAAAAATGAACTGATTCCAAAAGTTATTCAGTTGTAGATGTATACACAGTGATTAATTACTGAGAGTTTAATTAAAGTAGACATACTGGGCCTCATGTAAGAACTGTTCGTACAAACAGATTTGTTCTTAAGTTGTGCGTATGAGTGATTTAGGAGAATTTGTGGCATTCACCAATTTTCTTGTATTGTAAGATTTTTTTTCAGATATGAACAAAATTCACGAGTGGTCCAGATCTGTCGTATATTTTACGAGCAGTCAGTCTGCTTTCATCCAGGCACATTTTTCTCATTAGTAACTTTATATTTCGTTAGTTTAAAGATATTTTGAGTTGAAAATAAATCACACTCCATAATTGTATTGACAATAGGCTATTCTATTTGAATTGGAATTAGATTTTAAATGTAACTAGCAACATAAATTGGTTCAATTAAATTAAATTGCCTCTTCATGCTGTTGTATAACACTACAATATTACTATGAAGATCTCAAACCAAGAAACAACTTAAATTATGTATTAATTGAAATTTGGTGATATTTTAAAACGCTTTTTTTCGGAACCACGTCTGACACCACGACAGTCGGCAGGGGGTAGACGGCCAGGTGGGGGTAGCAGTGTGCGACTGCTCTTCTTCTGAATAAATGAAACCTATGTAACACAGTTGTTTACACAAATTAAAAATATATATATTTGACCAAAGAAAAACCAGAGTAGGACTACAGAGAGAGATTAATATGATTTAGATTTTTATTTCTGTGACTGTATACGACCCACAGGAGACACTACATTACCAGCAGTCATTTCATTCTTTGGCTTTAGCAGGTCTGACGCTGCTAAAAATTACATTTTTTTCTGGATCTCCGAGAGCAGAACTTCAATCTACGAACTCATAAAGTTCTTCTTTTTTATTTTGCGATGTCATTTATGAATGGACACTTCCTGATATGTGTGGCAGGAAACATAGCCTTATTTGGTGTTTTTGGGGTGGTAGATCATGCTAATCACCTCTCCCTGTGCACGAGCACCTGATACACATTCATCCGTTTACGCAGCTCATTCACACATTTTTTTTCCTGAAGATAGAAGAGTTTGTTTAATCTGACATGGCATGTTCATACGAACCCTTCGTACGAAGCCTTCATACGAACAAAAGTAAAATAAATTTAGGATAAGAATACAAACACATTCTTGCATGCRGACCATTGTGCTTTTAGAGCCTTCTTTTTCACATTCAAACCATTCAGTTGGGGTCTACATTAAGRGGAACTGCAATGCTTTGGTATGAATTCCTCCTTTTTGTAGCTCCACTTTTTTCAGCCATTTTCTGAGGTGTGTCTCAGATCAACTCATTTTGATGCTGTTCCTTTAATTCCAAATGAGGCACATCACACTCTGTTCCCCTCCAGCTTCTAGACTGGTCTGTTTGAGTTTGATAGAGGGGTTACAATAATATAGTGGCACAGAAAGCATTTTTATTTACAAATTAATTAAGAGATGTTAACAAGGAAAGACTTGCCCATCCAACCTTACATGTTGAAGCCAGAGTCTGACCCAGAGCCTGAGGAGAATGAAGGGAATATAAATATATCAATGCAGCACCGTGAAAAACTAAATTCAACTTTTTGCACTCCTAGAGACTCCAAGTACACAACAAAAGGCATTCAACAG